GATAGAAGTAGAACGACTGGGGCAAAAGAAAGCAAACATAGTACTAACAGTAATAGGTGCCTTGGGTGCAATCCCAAAACAACTGGAATACCACTTGAAGACCATCGGCATTGACAAAATCACCAGCAGTCAATTGCAAAAGGCAGCTTTACTTGGAACAGCTTACATCCCGTGACAATACCTTTAACACCATCAAACAACATCTGCCTATCCCAGATCCTTGGGCTTGATAGGTGGATAAAAATGCCAAATCCAGTCTAAACATCTGGCTGTGTGACCAGCAATAATTGTTGTTGTTGTTTCCCTATGACATCCAGAATCATCTGATGAAAAGAGACCACCTTACTCTGCCTAATAAAAAGGCTAGAGATACCACTGCCAATATTTGATGGCTAAATTACAGATTTTCAGTGGCATAATTTTGGGCCGTGGGTCTGGACTTGGGCATCGGGGGGGGCAAAATGAAGGTGAAAACTTATGCAATAATTTTCAAGTAGGTGTTCTTGATCTGGGGTCTGTGATAAGATTTTGGGAGGTTGTGAACTTGGATGGGGAAAAAATTAAAACTGTATTTTCACCAACTTCTAACTGAAATTTAGCTTTTCATTCAATAATGTATGTAGGCAAGAAAGTAATTTATGGCATCTAGACTCCAAAATTGTTTGCTAACTTCCGTAAATCTCATTACCTAAAATTATTATACTCTAAGAAAGGGTATTCTCTTGTTATTGATTTATGGATTAATAAACACAGCATATATATTACCATGCTACTCTATTATGTATTTATTATTTTTTAATATAATTGTGTTTGAGCATTATTAGTTTCCTTTGTAATACAATCTATAACTATGTATTTTATTTTATGCATTTAAATACATCTTTCTAAGAAGGTTCTTAGATTCTCAAAGGGGTTCATGGCACAAAAAGATTAAATAAACCCTGATTTAAAGTATCCATGTCTACTTTTATTTTAAAGAACATCTCCTCGCAAATTCTCCAAAAAGGAGGCTGTTAAATTTGGAACTCATACTCCTGGTGATGTCACTATGTCCCTTTTGCCTTCAAGGCCAAAATATTTTTTTAAGTACAGCCCTCGGGCCAAAATGCTTATCTACTCTGTTACATACATTGCTTTGCTTTGAAAGTAAAGCTACAAAATCCTGTGGATCACGGGAGCAGGTAGGGTTGCAAATGGCTGGATCAGGGAAATGGTTAATGCCTCACTGAGGGAAGGGATGGTACTGTCTGACCTGAAAGAAGCAATGGTGTACTCCAGCCTGAAGAGGCCCCTCTCTGGATTCAGATATGCTAGACAACTATTATCCACTCTCCAATCACCTTCAAACCACCCTACAGAATGCTGATTATTTGGATTCTTTTCAGCCAGAATTCAGGCCTGGGCATGAGACAGAAACCATACTGGTTTTAGCATTGGGTGAGAACCTGGGTGAGAACCTGGATGTATATCTTCTCATCTTTTTAGATCTCCCAGCAATGTTTGATTTCATAATATCTCTATGGGCCACTACAAAGTTTGAGAGTGATTCTGCCCTTTCCTAAGTATTCCTTTCTCTTCTAGTATTCAAGATGGCTTTTTAAATGCCTCTTTGGGGACTGAGGTGAGAATGGGAGTTGTACATGCATTGGAATAAAGCTGTTTGCTTTGGTATTAAAAGATGTATGCTTTTAGAACAATATTGGAGTTACGTTGAATTTATGTTAATGGTATTTATTATTACTATTATTGACACATTTGATCATTTTGATAACATTTTACTGTATGTATTGTATGTTTTGCAGTAAGTTGCTTAGAGTCTCATGACTGAAGCAGCATTCTTGTCATCTGATTTGCTCATTTTATCAAGTACTTAAAAGTTATTAATGCATATTCTATATACACACATCTATATTTACCTCTGAGGCTTACATACCAGTTGCTTGAACTTTGCATACTTGAGTAGGTATAGTCAATGACTGAGGCCGAGGAACAACCATATGTTTTGCTGAACTAGCAGGACTTAACTTTTTTGAAGCATTCGTTGAACATTGAGCTTCATCAGCATTAATTTTTATTGGAAGATTAAAGTCATATGCTGCCACCTAAAGGATGAATATAAAGTTATAATTTTCACAATGCTAACAAGAATACAAATGTTTGAAAACCAGAAGCCAGCAAACCTTGTATTCAGGCAGTAACCAATTCATATTCCCAAAACACTGAGAAAGAAAAGTCACCCATACAGAAATGAAGTGAATCATACAACATGTACCATTCCCCACTCCACCCCCAAAGCAAGATTAAAAAGATGGTAAATGGAAGTATAGTTCTAGAAATTAGGAAGGAACTACTGTCTGGTAAAAAAAATTACATTTGTGGCCTTCGTTTCTCCAAATATTCAAGGAACTCCTTGCAACCTGATTCTCTGCATAGAAGATTTTAAGAGGAAGATTTATGAAAATTATCTCAAAAGCAAGAGGAGTACTCCATGAAATTATCATTCTATGCAATGAAAGAAGTCAAAGTTAACAGCGCTTAAAATGGGACTTGGAAGCTCATCAGCAGCTGTTGCAATTGAACTAGATCCACTGGGATTGCCGCACTCTTTTTAAAAAATTATTATTATTAATTTTTTATTACAAAAAAGGAAAAAATACATAAAAATGCGGGGATTGCCACACTCTGTCCAAAGTATAGCTCCCAAACAATATTTAAGGACAGCCCCTTAGAAATTATGTTGCAGTTTTCAGTAAGAAAAGAAGTTTGGGCTGCTATTCTTTTGAAAAAGTTAATTTTGTAAATTTTTATTCTTTTGAATCTGAAATAACGGTGCAAGGTTGAATCTCAGCAAAGAAAAGAAGACAATGCATCAAATGCAGCTGAAACACTGTACTCCAACCACTGCTTTTCCAACGGCAGCATCTGATTCAGTATATTGAAACTGTAAACCAGCCCTAATACTACGGAAGTATAACCTATTGTATTCAATTTCAATTTATTCTTTCTCATCCACCACCTCAGCTTTCAGATACAAGTTTCGAATAGCAATAGCATGGCCAGTATAGTTAAAAATATAGGTTAAGTATCAGTGGTATTATGGTATGTTGTACTAATTATTTGTTCTGTTTTGTATTGTATTTGTGTACTGATGATATCAAACCTACAGCTCCAGACAATCTATCTTTATATACATTTATATACACACTAACATAACAGACATAAAAGTTTCCTTAGGAAACCACATTAGAGGTTGAACACACAATTTTCTAGGACTGTTTGGTCCAAAAAACAAAATAGAGTGAAACCAATTCAGATCAATCGTAGCATTGAGATAATGAAACAAGAAAACTGGATTGGCAAAATGTCAAAAGCTACTATAAGGAAAAACACTCTGTTTATCCTTGGACAGTGATAATTTGCCAGAAAAATTAAAGTAGTCTCATTTTTATGAGATACATAGTCAAATTTAAAAGGAGAAAAAGTAGATGTGTCACCCACAAAAATATTGTCAGCAAAAAAAGAAAAAGCAGTGCCCTATAACTGCAGAATCACCAATAGGAGAGATGTAATCTTCTTCCTTTAAAAAAAAGCCCCTCTTGCTCTCTCTCCCTTACACCATATAGAGCAGATCCAAGGTTCCATATCTTATATCTCTTTCTACTGCCCATGTGTTATAATGGGCTAGCAGTGCTTTCTTTCTGAGCGGGAACAGCAGTTTATACTTATGAATTGTTATTGTAACAGGGCATTCTGGTCTTTGGCCCTTCATTCCATATCTTGCTCAATCTAGCCCTCACACAAGAACCATGAGAGTTCTCAGTCACCACCATGCCACCACCAGCCACTTTCCTGCTGTGATTAACATGTAGTACCATCATCCCCAGATTGTGTACCCAACCAGGAGGGCAATAGTGTCAGGAGGCTATGAAGGACTGCATTGTTCTAACTAGCTGGCAATTAACTGACTAAAGTAATAAATAATTACCAGACTTGCTCACTGATTTTACTCATGATGAATGTTAGTGCTTCAGATCTCCACCACTCCTCCATGCATCTTCCTGACGGGTCATTTAGAATGAGGCATTGAGAAAGAAGGTGGCAGCAGCAGAGGGAGGTGAAGTGACCTCACACCTCAGGTTATCCAGCTGCTTCAGTTCTTATCAATACCTTGAGAATTATTACTGGCAAAATAAAATCAGGTAGACGTAGAGCTATTTCTGTCATCTAAGAAAAATCAGTTCCCATTTAGGAATATACATCAAAAAACAGAGGGATAAAAAGATGGCAGAGGGAACAAGACATTCTTCCTTAAGAATGAGCAGAGTGACTGAGAGAGTTCATGGGTGATCGCCCTAAAAGGCTGATGCTGTAATTGATTCTAACTGATAAAAAAGAGGCAACAGTACAATTTATTTTCTAAAAAACCAATAATTAATTCCACTATCCAGCTTGATGAGACTTGATAACAGAGCTTTGCTGTGGGGAGAGGAGATGAGCTACTTATGCATGAAGAGATTATGCTAAGAGTCCAATAGACAACTCCTGAATAGTGAGTTCTTAGGAGATATATACATATACATATACACATATACATATCTTAATTTTAAAAATATAAAAATTTAATGAGCTACAATGACCACTCCTTGCCTTGAAACTTTAACATGTTCAGGTTCCCTGGTAGAAGACAAATTAAAAATAATACTGTTAGTACAAATTATTTGTTTCCATTATTTACAAAAACCAATGAGGGAACCACATGCAGTATCAGATGTCTTCATCAGTTAGCAAGATTATTTGATTTCTTAAAATTTACTTATTTTATATGCCAGGTTAGCAGGTCTCACAACTATCAAACTACAAAATTATATCCTTATCATGAATGCTTACGTTTATAACCAAGTTTCACTTCAAATAGCCTAAAAAGCTACAGTCTAAACCACGGATCAAATTACTCCAGCAGTGCAAGTCAGGCTCATGGCCTCTACTCATTATATTTCTCGTGTTGAGAGGATGAAAGAGAAACCTTCCACTTTCAACTTTAGAAAAAGCCACTATAGAAACTCATAGAACTGACTAAAATAGTTAATTTGTCATCATGTTCTATCAGCTCACAAATAGCTCCAAATTTTTCTCCAATATAGAAGTCCCATTTATTTTAAAGTGAAAGTCTTTCCTCTTTCCTCCTCCTGCTTGCAACAAAAAAAAGCATACATGCCTGAGGTTCATACAGGCTTATTCATTATATCTAAAACATTGCGTAGATCAATTTTTCTCAACCTGATGTTTTTCAACAGTATTGAATATTAACTCCCATTGGCAGTGCAAAGTGTATGGAAACTGATAAAATACATCTGAAAGGAGCCATGTTGGGGAAGTCAAGGTTATATGATTATGAAAACTTGACAAAAGGAAACAGCCATAGGAACCACTGTGTATTAGTACTAGATAACTTAAAGAAAAACCTCCAATATATTTTACTAATAGAAATTGCTTCTTCCAGCTTTAAAACCACATTCATCTTCTTCTAATCCAGCTTCCCTTAATATATATTCAGCATATAGATTGAATAAATAAGGGGAGAGTATACAGCCTTGTCTCACTCCTCTGCCAATCTAGATCCAGACTGTTTCACCATGTTCTGCCCATACTGTGGCTTCCTGACCTGTATATAAGTTTCTCATGAGGACAATGAGATGTTCTGGATTACCATTTTTCTGAGCACTTTCCACAGCTTTATATGGCCCTTCTATAATCAATGAAGCACACAATGACTTTTTTTTTATATTCTTTGGGTTTCTCAATTATGCAGCCTGCATCAGCAGTAATGTTTTGTGTTCCTCGGTCTTTTCTAAAGCCAGCTTGAACCTCTAGCATCTCTTTTTTCATATAGGGCTGTGATCTGCATTGGATGATCTCAAGAGTTATTTTGCTAGCATGTGAAATTAAGGATATTGTACAATAGTTTGCACACTCTGTTAAGTCTCCTTTTTAAGGTACTGGATGTAGATTGACCTCTTCCAATCTGTTGGCAACTGTTTTCTTCTCTAGATTTGCTGGCATAGCTTGGTTAGAAACTTTACTGATTCTTCTTCTGTTGCTTGCCATATTTCAGTGGTTATTCCATCAGTTCCTGTAGCCTTCTGACTTGGTAATGACCAGAGTGCTGATCTAACTTCATCATCTAATACTAGAGGCTCTTGTAAATAGGGAATATCTTGGATGTTGATATTTCTACCTTACAGTATTTCTCCTATCTTTGTCCCATCTTCTTTGAATCAGTTACTATCTATCCATTGGAGTCCTTTAGCATGCCCAATTCAAGATTGGAACCTCCTTCTGAGTTCAGAGATCTTTTGAAAGACTTTGTTTTTCCATGTTTGATTCCATCCTCAATGTCTTTACAGATGTTGTTGTAATATCATCAATAATTTTATATTTATATGGTTTTCTTGGTAAAAATATAGGAGTGATTTACCATTGCCTTCTCCCATGTAGTATGAATTGATGCCTTTCCCATTGTTACTAAAGTGATCATCTGCCTCTGGCACCTTCCGCTGTTGCCCAATATAGGTGCCCGCTTGCTTTAGCTGGGCAGCTGGGATGATCTTCACACCTTGGGTGACCCTGCTGGGAATATATACTCTTGGCATACACTCCCAATATTCTTTGCTCATCTCTCCCAGGAATACACACACGCATACTGCCACAATGAGGCAGCACAGCACAACTTGGGGGCGGGAGGGCATAACACTATAAAACAATATAAATAGATTGACATTCACTAAAACATAAACTTACTTCTTTTGGTGTGAAATTCAGAGAACATTCCAAAACAGTATTGGCTTCTAAAGTCGCAATATATACTCGAGATGCCTCTGATGTATTATGCATATCTATCAGAAAACATAAAAATGCACATTTTACCAATCATTTGTACCTTAGTTTTACAGTGGTATATTTCTATTCTATAGATTTAATCCTGCTCATGGTGATCAGAAAGAACTACAATCAATCTGTGGGCAAGCAACTACATCCAACAGCACAATCAAGAGATTACCACAAACAGTCTGCAGATGGCACTTGCATGCAAAGATTTAAGAGGCTCTGCTTGCACTAGTATTGTCCACACTCCACTTGCATCTCATTCCCAGCATGAGCCATGGGGTGAAAGTGAAGTGGCTTTCTTGATCAATAGCTGAGAGAAGAAGGCAGGCTGTCACAATGAACTTGCAACCAGAATGATCCAGCAAGAATCAACAGGACCAAACAAGGAGAAGGAAATGCAAGAGAGGTACATTGTGCAGTTGACCTATCCTACACACACACACACACACACACACACACACCTACCTCTTATGCATAAGCAAAAGCCAATCCATCATTTGGTACATGCATTAAGTAACAATTATCTAAAACTGATAATTAGAGACCAGACCTTAATATATGTGTATCAGTCAATCTGCCCCAAGTAACAGATGGACCCAATTGAGTTCCAGAGGAACTTGGGGTTGTTCCTGAGGATCTGCTGCATGACCCGACTAAAGCCCTGGTGGCTGCCAGGAATGAGAATGCAGCTGGGTCTCTGGATCAGATTGTGCCCAAGCAGCCTCTTCTTTCCTGGGGATCCCAGAATCCCCCTTAGTTTACAAGGGAGTTGAGAGAGATGAATTGGTTAAAGAGATGCCTGGAGCAGTGCTGAAGAGCAACAGGGAACGAATCTTACCAAACATGAGTTAGAGCTACTATTAGGGCTCTTGGTTATATGGGAATATCAATATTTTTCTGCCCTTATTGTGTCCATGTCTAGGAGCCTTGTTTTGGGTTCCCAAGCCCTCCTGGGAGGGGATAGTTCAGAGGTTTCTCTACAAGGTCACTGTGAGGAATATACTAGAAACCTGATGGATAAAGTTGATTAGATTCATGCTAAATTGGATTCTAGTCTTGGAGCAGGTCCTGTGGAATTGACTGGGACTCTGTGGGGAGTTTGATCCTGATGGGCCTGATGAAGTGGATAGGGTTTTTGTGGTTGTTAGCTCAGCCACCCCTGCTTAGGATCCATGTCCCTCCCAATTGGCTAAGGCCTCCCAGGAGGTGGCATGTGGTTGGGTCTTGGAAGTAGTGAATTCCCCTTTGAGAGAGGGGATAATTTTACTATACCTTAAAGAGGTGGTAGTTCGTTCCCACCCTAAGAGACCATTGCTGGACCTGATTGTTCTGGACCATTTTTCATCCAATTTCTAACCTTTCTTTTTTGGGGAAGGTGCTGGAGAAGGTGGCTGTGCAGCAGCTCCAGAGAACTCTGGAAGCAGATTATCTGGACCCCTTTCAGTCAGGATTCAGGCCTGGGTATGAGATAGTATTGATCACCACTCTTGGATGACCTGTGGCAGAAGCAGGGTTGGGGTAGTGCATCCATCCTTGCTCATTTTGTCCTCTCAACTGCTTTGAATACTATTGATCATGGTATTCTTCTGGACTAACTGTGGGGATTGGGGGTGGATGGCACTATGTTGTGCTGGTTCTCTTCCTTCCTCTGTGGCTGGTTCCAGTTGGTGTTGATAGGGGGAGAGGTCCGGCTTGCAGTCTTTGCTTTGTGGGGGGCCACAGGGTTTGGTATTCTCTTCCCTCTTGTTTAACATCTACATGAAGCTACTCGGTGAAGTTATCTGATGGTTTGGGGTGAGGTATCTCTACCTAGGTTCATCTGAGTGATTTCAGTGTTTAAGAAGCACATAAAACCTATGAAGCTAGTCTATCACAATGACTTATAACAAAGGCTTCCACATAAGATTCAAGATTTTGGAGAAAACATGTATATTATATATAAATTAGCTAATTCATATTAACTGCAGAAACAAACAATTGTAAACTGCCTTGGGAATATTTAATTTAAGGGTAATGTAAAAAAATATTTGTAATAAATAACAAATACAAGGTATCTCATATTTAGAAGGCAGCTTGTTAAGAACCTGATTTTGCTATGTTCCATACAATTAAAAGATAATTTGAGGACTAGTTGAATCTAATTCAGAATACCAAGATGGGAAGCAGTGATCTATTTGAAGTACTTACTTGATTTACCTTCTGAATACACTTTCAACAAAAGACAATCTGCTAGTATTATTTTTGCCACATTTTCACATGGGAACACCCTATATACTTTGCAGGCTGATATTACTTTGTTGTGGGATGTAGGAATATGTACAGAACTACAACTAATTGTTACCACATTTAACATAGACAGTTTTAATAAACTTACTAAATGGAATTCTCTGAATAGATACATAAATGTCTATGTTTAAGTAGAATATATAAACCAATTGTTCATTCATGAATTATCCATTCAAAGATTAAGCTAAATATTCTTTAATTTAAAAAGTTTAGATTTTAAGATAAATATTGCAGCCTTTCCTTTAAAAAAACAAACTGAACACACTTTTCTAGACAATTAGAATTCTAAACTAAGAAATACCTGGCTGAAAACGTAGAGTAAAGCCATCATGTTCAGACAAATCTATTGTCACTTTAGTATATGACTTTCCTTTGTTCTCAATAGAAAATGGAATTTGTTGAGTAGAATCAACATAAACACCAGGGAAGTTAAACGAGCTCTTTAAAGAAAGAAGTAAATAATAATTTGAGTGACCAAGATAATGATAAGAAACAAAACTGGTAACAATTCTGCTGAGGAAGCTGTAGAGGTAGGATGTGACTGGAGTGGAAATAAATGATTAATATAGAACACATAACAGTAGCTCATCATTCTGTTCACTCTAACATAATTTCAGCTGCTTAATATGAAGTGGGATACTCAAAACTTCTGAAAAACCTAGCCAAGAAAACTGCAGGGACTAGTCCAGGCAGTTGTCAGGAATCAATGCTGACTCAAAGGGACCAAAAAAAAAAAAAAGGAAATTATTTAATGTTACACAAACTAAATAAATCTGTACCATTGTTATTAGAGCTGTGCAAACCCTTTGAAAGAGGTATTTCAAAACATATAGGAGCTTTTACCAAGTACCTTTCTTTAAATCATTAAAGCAACCATATATTTTTCTAGCCTGCCCCAGCTGATTCATAAGCTGCTTTCTGCTATCTCTACATACATGTGCATATACAGCCACTTGGGCTGTATTATTATGGGACAGCTGATGAAACAGCCACATAAATCTGGAAAAAGATAAATCTGCTTTAATAATTTGAAGAGAGGTTCTTCATATAACTCCTCTGCATGTTACAAAACAGCTATTTCAGAGAATTTGCATCACCCTAATGATCATGACAAAGATGTATCATTACCTTAAAGAATAAAGTTTACCGTGGGCTAAGGGGGAGAAACAATCCTAAATATGCTCAGGACCTTATGAGCCATCTAGAAACAGAATGTGAATAGTTAGGCCTTTGGAGTTATCAACCACAGCTCTCTTATTTTCTTGAAAGGGATATTTTATTATTTACTATAGCTACTTTACATTTTTTAATATAATTTTCTGATATCCCCGGAAAGACCAAAAGTATTGATTTCTGTAAAGACATTATCTCTTGATTAAATATATCTGAGATTGAGAGGCATGTCCATATGCACAGACCCTTTAACAGCACAGTGCATTTTAAAGTTTCTTTAAATGCCTCTCATTAAAATGAATGGGACTTCTCTGTGAATAAATATGTAATATTCAGTACTACAAATCTTAGAACCTAAAGGATGCATAATTATGTTAAATATTTACCACACTTATATGTATGTCAGGAACCTCTACAGATCCACCAATCCTAAGTTCCAAAGATTTTGCATTGCGTATTGCTACCTAAATAACAAGGAAAAAAAAGTGATTTCCTGATCTCCCATTTTTCAGTTTCATTCCTACTTTATCTACTTATTCTTTGCATTTTCCTGCTGAGATTCTTCATTGTCAACTTTATAGTTTTTCAGTTTCCGTTCTCTGCTCAAGCCCTTGCTCTTAAAGTATTGTGAGAAATTTCAGATGAATCCTGTTATCTCATAGAAGCAAAAATTTACCAACATTCCTGCTGCTGCTTTATCCCTTCAGCAAATAGAACATTAACACACATTTTACGTCTTTACAGAAACTCAAGTAATCACTATTAATCACAGGTTTCAGAGTAAAACATTAAAATATTTTGAAAACAATGTATATTTATTATCCAAGTTAATAAAAGCTTTTGGTCAACTATTCAAATACTAATACCTCTACTCTGCTGTCAAATTTCATTAATGCACTGGGTCTGAAGTAAATTTTAATTTCAGTGCGGCCTCCCACAGGTATTACACCCTGAAAAGGAGTTATAATCATTCCAGGAATTGGATTGACATCAAGGACCTGTCAATAAAAGCAAACATTATAAAAGTCCTTTTTTTACCCTATCTTAGAAGTATTCTGAGTATTTCCCCAAAAGTGCTGGAATATCTGAAGCAAAGTTACTAGTGCACACCCCAATATCCACTATGAATATGCCTCACCTGGAAATACGCATGGTTATGCCCCAAGTTTTGAAGAATAGCTGTTCTGTAGGTGGTTAAGTGGAGAGGAGCATGATTAAAGGTGATCCTTTGCTCCTTAAACTGAACACTGGTTGAGCCAAGCTAATATTGTGAAAGAATTAAAAACGTATTACATCTATGTGCATTTTTCCAGAGACAGATTTTTTTTCACTTCACAGAAGCTAGGCAACAATGTGAACATGAATAAAAGTACACTACAGATACAACATGTAAATGTGTTTTCTTTTTTGAGAAAGCATATTTGGGGATTAACATGGGTCCAAGAGATATGAATAAATGTCTAAGGCTAGTGCTTTGTTTTGCAGCAGTGTAGTTTTCCATTATTTTAATTAAAAGATCATTAAAACAAATCAAATCAGATGGGGTAGAGACCTAACGATCATTAGTGGAAGTTTTAGCAGGCGTACTATACCCAAAAGTGTCATGTTGAGGATGCAGACTTTAATGTCTTCTTCATTTATTTATGTATTATACCATTTGTATGCCACCAACTCCATGCAGAATCCTGCTGGTTTATGTAAATTATCAAAATTAAGCCATAAGCGTTTCTACAGCACACATTTAAAATAATCATAAAATAATCATAAAAATAATACCCCTTAGCATTCAATTCAGCAACATTATGAACCAAATTATATAAATACAATCATTCTAAAAGTATAAAACAATCATTATTAAAAATTAAAATATATGAAAAAGTAAAATATACAAACTATAGGCATGAAGAGAGTGAATATATCAATAGTGGAGCCATCTTAAGATGTTATTGGTTCCCTGGGACCCCCAAGCCTGGTGACATACAGTGGGGCAAAAAAGTATTTAGTCAGCCACCAATTGTGCAAGTTCTCCCACT